CTAATATCTAGTGTCTGATATCTAATATCCAATATTCAATAATTACCTAACATCTAAGATCGAAGATCTAACAATCAAATATCTCACTATCTAAATATAATAACATCATATATATATATATATGTGTATATGTATATATATCATTCAAATGGGATCAGCATCCCATCAGCTGCTTGAAACCACTAGGCTCCCCAGCTCAGCGTTTGGTGCCCTGGGTGCCCTTCGTGCCGGTGCGGCGAGCCTTGGGTACGACCTCAGCTACCCCTCTGAAAAATATGATAGTCAGTTGGGATGATGACATTCCCAATATATGAAAAAAATGTACCAAACTCTATATTAAATCCGTTGTTGGAGAAGATATAAATGATATAAGAAACTTGAATAGAATAAATGATCTTGAAGTTTTGATAACAAAAAATGATCTCATCCATTGGAACAGATCATCTAATGCTTGAAACCCAACATTTTGCCAGGAAAAAAATCTGGAAGATCTGCAAAACTCCACCGATCGCTGTTTGAAACTGAGATGAGAACCCCCAAGTGATGCGACTGCGGCAGCTGAGCGGTGCAGCCTGTCATCCGGAGGTGCCACCAGCTGCCATCCCAGTTCAAATTGGCCGTTGCCCTGTTCCAAAAACTGGGGATTATTTTTATAGATTTTTTATAGATAAAAAAACAAAAAAACTGGGGATGAATTTAGAAACAAAAAAGTTATCATGATGATAATGACTACGTATTGTCATAATAATAATCATCATCATAATGGTAATGAAAAAACTGTATGATCAAAGCCATTAAGAATCTGTTATTACCATTGCCATGCATAATGACCTCATAATCTCCAAAATGGCTCGGCCGTTCCTCTTTTTGGATGACACGGCTGGACCCGGACCCGGAGCTCAGAGGTGGTAGCCTCGACCTGGCGGGGTTGCCATGGGGGAAAATTGCAAAGTTCCTCATCATCATCATCATAATCATCATCATCCTCATCATCATCATTATCATCCTCATCATCATCATCATCATCCTCATCATCATCCTCCTCCTCCTCCTCATCATCATCATCCTCATCATCATCATCATCCTCATCATCATCCTCCTCCTCATCATCACCATCATCATCCTCATCAGCATCATCATCATCATCATCATCCTCATCATCATCATCATCATCACCATCATATATAAGTACCTAGGGTTGTCTCCACTATAAGCATCATCATTGTCTCCACTATAAACATCATTATTGTCTTGTCATTTGTTCATAAATTATCCTGGGTTATCACGTCATTTGTTCGCAGAGAGGATCACCAGAGAGCAGCACCAAAAAAATATCGCCTTGCACACCAGCCGGGCCTGTGAAGGCTTGAAATTGCTCCGCCGGTTGTCTGGCCTGCGATCGGCTACGGGAACTCAGTCAGTTGGAGCTGCACATGATCCCTGGAATTGGAATTGGTTCTTAAATAAAGTGCAGCGCATGATATACATCAAGAAATATTGCGATACTGTGTGTATATATATATATATGTATGTATACTATGTGTATGTTGTGTATGTAAATATGTATACTATGTGTATGTATATATATGTATATATTATACATATACAATATACATAGCTGTACATAATCGCATGTATATTACAATACATCATATACATCCCATTTATCACCCCACATTTCCTCAGATCATTGCCTCCAGAAGTGATCTTTATGGGGGCACCAGCATACTGGTTGTATTTACTGGGTAGGCTGGTATGAGATATGGTATTGTCATGCCAAGTACATCAAGTGGTAACATGTACAGTATTGGTCGATTGACTTGCCTGAGAAAAGAAAAAATGCCATCCGATCCTGTCCCTGTCATAACCAACTACCTTGCCACCAATCCAGGGTTGAAACCTGCCCAAAACCACCAAACCGCCAACTGTTTTGACAAAAAATCACCATGTTTGCAGATGTTCTGCTTCCCCCGGGTGTTTGCAAAAGTGAAGGGGATACACCCCGCCCAATCATCGATGTCATTATTTAACACCATGGGTACACTGGGTACAGCCTCTGGGGGAACTGCCCGAATCTGAGAATTGGTCGCTTCATACATAATCCTCAACCAGGCAGGACAAAAACAACATCAACCAACCAGAATTTCTGGGTTACATCCTTATATTTGATAGTCAAAGTCAAAAGCCTTACTGTACTATTAAACAACTACTCAACCAAGGTGTTTGCTTCACAAATACCATATTGTTGATTCTGCCCATGTTACATAGACCTTCCTATGGGATTAAATGTATGATATAGATTCTAATCTATAGTATCCCCATTTCATCTCCCCATTTTATGGGATTTTATGATATAATCATCATCAACCAACTGGGAGTATTTATCTACCCCCCGCCACGACGCTAACATCGCGACCCCATCGCCTCTCCATAGAGATCAGAGGGTGGGTTTAAAGGTTGCATCAGCAGCCGGCTTTCCTGCGCAGCTGGAAGATGGACATACCATGGGCCTGAAAAATGGGGATACACAAGGAAACGCAATGTTTCTAGGTACACATGTACTTCATCACATGTATATATATATATATGTGTGTGTATGTATATATATATATACATATGTGTGTATATACATATATTATATTATATATATGTATATTACATTAATTAAAAAATATTATATATACATATCATACTATATTATATTATGTTACTTTAATTTATTTTATATTATATTATATTGTGTTATCTGGGATATTGTGTATTATATTATGTATAATATAAGATATTATGTATTAAATTATGTATTATATTATATTATATTATAATATATTATACTATATTATATTATATTATACATTATGCTATATAGTATAGCATATTATATTATATTGTGTGATGTATTCTATTTTTTATTATATTATGTATTGTATGAAATTAAAACCTATTAATTTTTATATAATATATGATTTATGATATATGATATTTTATGTATTATATTTGATATATTACATATTATATATTATATATGATTTATTATATATTGTATATTAAATATTATATACTATATATGATATATTATATATTAAATATGATATATTATATATTATATATTATATGTTATGTATTTTAAATTATAAATATTATATATATAATATATAGTTTATTATAAATTATATAGTATATATTATTTATTATATATTATGTATTATGCATGAAAGTTTATGTATTGTATTTGATATATTACATATTATATATTATATATTAAATATTACATATTATATATAAATTATATATTATATCTTATATATTATATATTATAAATTATATATTATATATTATGTATTATGTATTCTTATATTATACTATATTATATTATATTATACTATGTTATATTAATAAATTATAGTCTATATTGTATATTAAATTATATTATATTATATTATATGGTATTATATTGTATAATATGAAATTATATTATATTAAATTAAATATTGAATTATATGCTATTTTATTATATGGTATTAAATTTTATTATATTATATTATATTATGTATTATAGTATATTCTATTTTATGGCATTTTACTATATTGTATTATATTATATTGTATTATATTATATTATATTTGTCTATATTTACATAATAATAATAATATTTTTTATATTATATTATAGTATATTTTATTATATCATGTTATATTATATTATATTATACATATATGCGTATGTGATATATACGTGTAAATATGATGAGAAACCAGAATGATTTCTCTGTGCTTGTCCAAAATGAAATTTATATAAACTAGAAAAAATGGTGGTATAAATAAATCCAACCATTTATGTGGAGGTAATGGCAATATTATGATGGAACCAGAATATAATCCACATTAATCAACAATATGAATTGGGAGCATCTGAAGACTGCAAACTTTTATGAGTAATTAAAAGTAATCAGAGGCTCAGAGGAATTGGGGTATACCGCCTTTGGACAACCCAAGTATGTTTACAAGTTGGGGGCTTGACATTGCTGAGGAAATTGCCCTACAGTAGATAACGTATATGGAAAACCCGTCCGCACCGAAGGTGCCAAGGTGTGGTAGTTTAGCAGAAAGGGATACGAACAGATCTGTTCAACTGGTACAAATAAACCAACTAAACCAACATGGTTTTCATCGAATCCTCCAATTTTGCTGAAATCCCCATGCTTCTTGGTCAAAACCTCCATGTTGCTTCCTAAAATCCTCGGGTGAAATCACCATTTCGGCTGAGGAGATCCCCAATCCATCCTCTGGGTGGTGAGTTCACCAGTACTCCAAGTTGTTTAGCACGGCTTGTTGTTGATCAATTCTGAAGGTGCCCAACACCACATGTTTAAAATCAGTGTTTGAATGTGCTTGATATGTGTAGTAACTGATCGAAGCAGTGTCTAGTTAGCTTTGGACTGGAATTGGATTTGCCTCATGCAGATCTGCTGGTTGAAAAGGAAGGCAATCTGTCCATCCATGGATTCAAACATGCCGAACTGCAAAATGACACTTGTATCACCCAAGCTCCGGAAGTATACACATTCCCAAACGACGTGCATCCCCAATGTGGATGTGCTGAACGCTGGGAATATCACACCTTCTTTTGGTTTGCCAAACACTTCCAAAGATGCACCACTCCTAGTGTCCCACCCATTAACCAATACTACCGACTAATTTTCGGAGTACCCTGCGGTAATCACATGATGGCAATGGGAGATTCCATACAAATGGAATTTTTGAATGGGAAAACCATCTATAGACGGGTGGAAAACCGAACCCGTATTTTATCATTTTTTCAAGAGGAGGCTTTTGGGGGGTTTTGGGGGGAGGTTTTTGGGAGGGTTTAATAACGTCCTGTGGCCTGCGGTGTCAATCACGATGTCTTGGTACGTTGTAAGATCTTCGTCCGAACATCTTCGTCCAATAACTTGTCAGGCGTTCCTGATACGTTGTAAGATCTTCGTCCAGTAACTTGTCAGGCGTTCCTGATACGTTGTAAGATCTTCGTCCAGTAACTTGTCAGGCGTTCCTGCTACGTTGTAAGATCTTCGTCCAGTAACTTGTCAGGCGTTCCTGATACGTTGTAAGATCTTCGTCCAGTAACTTGTCAGGCGTTCCTGCTACGTTGTAAGATCTTCGTCCAGTAACTTGTCAGGCGTTCCTGATACGTTGTAAGATCTTCGTCCAGTAACTTGTCAGGCGTTCCTGCTACGTTGTAAGATCTTCGTCCAGTAACTTGTCAGGCGTTCCTGATACGTTGTAAGATCTTCGTCCAGTAACTTGTCAGGCGTTCCTGATACATTGTAAGATCTTCGTCCAGTAACTTGTCAGGCGGTCCTGATACGTTGTAAGATCTTCGTCCAATAACTTGTCAGGCGTTCCTGATACGTTGTAAGATCTTCGTCCAGTAACTTGTCCGGCGTTCCTAATACGTTGTAAGATCTTCGTCCAGTAACTTGTCAGGCGTTCCTGCTACGTTGTAAGACCTTCGTCCAGTAACTTGTCAGGCTTTCCTGATACGTTGTAAGATCTTCGTCCAGTAACTTGTCAGGCGTTCCTGCTACGTTGTAAGGTCTTCGTCCAGTAACTTGTCAGGCGTTCCTGATACGTTGTAAGATCTCCGTCCAGTAACTTGTCAGGCGTTCCTGATACGTTGTAAGATCTTCGTCCAGTAACTTGTCAGGCGTTCCTGCTACGTTGTAAGATCTTCGTCCAGTAACCTGTCAGGCGTTCCTGATACGTTGTAAGATGTTCGTCCAGTAACTTGTCAGGCGTTCCTGCTACGTTGTAAGATCTTCGTCCAGTAACTTGTCAGGCGTTCCTGCTACGTTGTAAGATCTTCGTCCAGTAACTTGTCAGGCGTTCCTGATACGTTGTAAGATCTTCGTCCAGTAACTTGTCAGGCGTTCCTGCTACGTTGTAAGATCTTCGTCCAGTAACTTGTCTGGCTTTCCTGATACGTTGTAAGATCTTCGTCCAGTAACTTGTCAGGCGTTCCTGATACATTGTAAGATCTTCGTCCAGTAACTTGTCAGGCGTTCCTGATACGTTGTAAGGTCTTCGTCCAGTAACTTGTCAGGCGTTCCTGATACGTTGTGAGATCTTCGTCCAGTAACTTGTCAGGCGTTCCTGATACGTTGTAAGATCTTCGTCCAGTAACTTGTCAGGCGTGCCTGATACGTTGTAAGATCTTCGTCCAGTAACTTGTCTGGCAATGGAGATGGGAGAACACTGGAACCAGCTTGTTTCAAAAGACTGCCAAAGTCTTGAATGAGACTGTCCAGTCTGGATGACTGTCCTTGGCGCGAGAAAAAAAAGCGCGCAGAAATGTGCTAAGAAAACTGCAAAAAAATGACGCTGATTTTGGAAGCTCATGAATGCAGAAAACATTGCAAAACGCAAGAAAAAGCCAAAACACAGTGGCGCGGCGAATATCATGAACTGAAATGTTTGCCAAAGCCATGCGTTTCGCATCCAATGTCTAGCATGTGAACGCCAAGAACAGACAAAACGTGGGTTCAGTTTCCCACCCGGCGGGATGTTTGACTACAGAGGGTTTAGCTGCTCGGTTCCATCTTCACAGGGGAGAGTGGGACTATCCGTGGCTTGGAACAGCTCGCACGCATGGATCCTGTTGGTTCACATCCCAGCGCTTCTGCGTCAAGCGAAGACTGCTCGCACGAGCTTGGGTCAAGAATTGAGAACCACATGTTGATGAATTTTATTTGTAGCAGTACATACATCATATCCCATTTCTACCAGTAAAGCATGCCATTTGGGCAATGCCTGTTTTGTCAGTGCAGCTACCATAAATTGGCTGGGTTTATAAGGATCCCCAGTTCTACCAGCCACGATTTACCATTCTTTTAAATCCCCACGCAGTCTTGATGGTAATTCATCCCTTTCTTCATGATGGTGTAATCTGCACGAAATAGCAAATACGTTATACGAATTAACTAGTTATATTGGGATGACTACCCTATTCCTATTCTATCAAAATAATACTATAAGCTAGTGGTAGAACAATCTATAGAATCTAGACCAATGAGTCTCATTTTCCTACGGTCATTTTCCTAAAAGGTAAGTTGAATTCATTCTATAAAACTGGCATGGGACTTCAGTCTGAAAGGCCGCCGAAGCTTCGCGGAAACCTTCCTCTTGCAAAAGCTCTCGGAAACTCTTCATAGTGTACATAGTTTATGTCTTTTCAAACAAAGTGCATTCGCGACTGCGGTTGCTTGTGGAAATTCTCGGAAACTATCTTTGATCATGAGGTTTCGCGGAAGCTGGTACTGTGTGCGAAGCACCGTGGAAGGTTTCACAGAAGCATTGCGTAATTTCATGAAAAATAAACATTGCAAGAATTGTTGGTAGAATATTTCTTAATATATATCTATATATATATAGGATCCAATTGGTATTATAATATTGGTAATAAAAAAGAATGATAATAATAAATAATAACTGTCATATTAGTTAACAATAATAACGATTGTACAAAATAATAAATAAAGAAATAAAATAAATCAATTAATTAAATAAATCAATAAATAAATAGATAAATAAATAAATAACATGTGTTTCTCAAAAATAATTGTAATAATTTAATAATAATATAACAACATACAGTAATCTACAATATTCTATATAATATATGTTATTTATTATATAACTAGAAATATATAGGGCACTACAGATGGGGTCCCAAGTCGCTGTGTCCCCCGCGGCCTGCTCTGATGCCTCGATGTAAACGGCCACTGCCAGTGAGGCCTTGCACGCCGTGGACGTCCGGCACGGCGCACGGCGCCGTCCGGCGCCGTTAAGGGAGAAAGCTCAACACAAAGGAACACAAAGGTGATATTAATCAATATTAATGGCTAAAAACTAATAATGGTGAATAGTTTTAACATAATCAATGATATTAATCATAGGTTTTTAAAGGTGATATAATAACTATAACCAATTATAGATATTAATCAATATTTATGGCTAAAAACGATAACCAATAGAAAAACACTATAACCAAATGGCAACAAACCAATGATTGCGAAACACCAATGATGGCACGAATACAATAAAACGAAACACAAACGAAGACAAAGATTGTAAAAACAATAACCAATGATTGTGAAATTATAGCCAATAGAAAACACCAATGATTGTGAAAGACCAATGATGGCTCGAACACAAAGGTGATATACACAAAGATTGTAAATAACAATCTGAAACACCAATGATTGTGAAACTATAACTAATCGCTAGTAAATATGAAACTATAACCAATAGGATATACAATGTGAAACTACCAAAAAAATGGCTAGTAAATAACACCAATGGCTAGTAAATAACATTAACCAATGGCTAGTATACAACAATGTGAAACTATAACCAACGGCTAGTCAATAGCACCAATGATTGTGAAAAACCAATGTATCACTAAATTTTACTAGAATGATATTTGCACGAATAACACCAAAGGGAAAAAGGGTGTACAATAACCAATGGTGATGTTAATCAATATTAATAGTAATAAATAACTAATAATGGTGAATAGTAATAACCTAATCAAATATGAATGGTGCAAGAATGGTGAATAGTAAAAACATATAATCAACACTACCCAATCGGTAATCATTATTAATATCAAGGTGAACCTCAATATATGGTCAATTTTTGGTGGCTCAATGTAGTTCACAAAAAATGATCATCTTTCGCTGATTATGAATTGTTGTGTTCCATGTATGGCCAAAAAATTAAAGGAGTGCCCATCCAAGGCTGGGGATGCTATCTAGACCATATGTGATATTTGCGTTGTTGAAAAAGATTTTCATCTCACCAAGACCAAAACAAAGGATGTTGTTTTCTAGTAAACGACCAAAATCTGGATTTTTGGGGAATGATCAATGCACTAGTAGTGCATGTTCAAAATCAATGGGCATGCGTTCCTCATCTCCCACTATTTTCCACTTTCAGGTCCGGAAACCCTTTGATCAACCCATTGATGAACGCAGAAGGTCGGGAGAAATCCTCCTCTTTTGGGGAGATTTTACTGTTGTCATACGTATCTATTTTGCAAAAATCCTGTAGACATAGATACAAAATAATAGATATAGATGTAGATGTTAGATACTGAATAGCAGATATCGGATATCAGATATTATATATGGATACAGAAATAGATATCGACAGATATCAATGTCGATGTAGGTGTTAGAAAAAAAACGTACATGGACGCATAGATTTTTGGATTGCCATAGCCCACTCATCGGCCCAAACCTCAGCAACAGGGCATTGTCAGATTATCATACCACATTATACCACAAGATTACTCTCCTGTAATGTAACCAACGGGCCAAAGGGTAACATACTCATAGAACATAAACAACAAAACCCAACCCACCACCGACCCACAGCCCATTTCGGTTTCTCAAGCTGCCGCAGCCAACTCCATCAATGGGCAGCTGAGGTAAACCAGCGAGGCTACGTTGAAGACCGCTGGTGCTTGCCTGAGGGGCGAGAGGAGTGGAAAGTTGAGGCCAACTAGCCGGGGCGTCTTTTTCCATCTCCCGATCAAACATACTGGGATGAATGGGGTATTTAACCAACAATAATGGGACTTGACAGTGGGAATATCATAGGAATAAAATTGACATATACGCAATGATATGGTTTATGGTCATCCATCCGATTCAATTTAAATCGTAACATAAGTTTGGTACATTAATTTTTCCCTATGAATGGATTGCTGACCCTCAAAATGGGCACCTTAGTCCAACTTTGGACCATGGCACAGAGAAAAATATGTTAAAAATACATGGTTATATGCGACCAAAAGTCCTTTTTGAGTACTCCAATGCATTCAACCAAGGTTTCCTGGAACTCCCTCCCGCCTTGAAAACAAGGGGTACTTCACGTGAACAGCTCGCTCTAGGAACAGGATCGCATCGAAGATGCCGTTCACAAGGCACAGCAATCCTCAGGAAAAGTAAAACGATGCCCAGAAGGGAGGAAAAAAAAACGTTCAAAGATGTACCCCCACCACTGCACCAGTTCTGGAAGGTTTATGTAAGTGTGCGTTTATAAATATAAATACATGTGTGTATATATATATATGTGTGTGTGTGAAAACGTGGAACGTTTTGACCAACACCAAGGGGCAACTCGCACCAATGCCGCGGAATTTTTAAATCGAAATTTGCGCACCGTCTCGTTGATTCGGAAAGGGAAGGGAAAGAATTGGTAGTTTTCTGGAACGTCCGACATTTTTAAGTAACAGCAAAACAACCAGAAGAAAAAACAGCAAAAACAAGCAACTACGGCTCATCTTCTTGGTTCTGCGCGCACGGTGTGTTTGTGTGTTCTGTGTCTTGAAGCACATTCAGTCCTGCTGCCTTTTGGTTCTTCTCTGACTGCATCTTGGGATCATATGCGATGCGCCACCTGAAGTGCATGTTGATGTGGAGCCAACCTTGTGTCTTTGTGAGTGCGTTTGCTAACCTGCCACCACCATTCACCCATCTAAGTAATGTCTCACTTCGTTGTAAACTTTTCCTCAGAGTCAGGGCTTCGATATCTGAACCTTTTTCTGCACCTTTCACTACAAGGGTAACTGTTTGGAGTTTGTCAAAAAGATTCTTTGCATCAATAACCATGACACCAGGCGTGAGTTTTGCGGCATCATCCACCCTCCTGAGTTCCGCAGTATGTCCTCTCATCTCACTTCATCCCTCAGCGTCCAAAGCTCCCATGGTTGGTTTCTGCACACGCCGGCGACCTGCAGACACAGTCGATACAACCCAGTCGATTGGGGTCACTGCTGCCTCATTGCCCTCACCAAGTGCTGCTGCACCCATTCCTGTAAAAATACCTTCAGTAGAATCAGATCCATTTGGCCTATTAGCCCATGCAGCATCACTCCAAGCGATGAGTTCCAAGTTCTGTCCCTTCGGAAATGAATGCATTCGACAACATTGAGATGGTCAGTCATTTCCTTTAAGGGTCTACACCAGAGTTCTTGTTTGAGATCATCCCCTTGTAGGAAAGCTCCACTGACATCACCGTTTTCAACTTTGATTTTTTTTGCCAGCTGCAAAACAGTGGAAGAAAAGTGTCTTCTCGCCCCTTGACGAAGTGGGAGCCGCAGTAGGTCCTTCAGCATACAAGGGATACTGGTATGCAAGAACTATAGCTCTTGCTTTCGCTTTCTTCCCTCCCTCATATTTGTCATCGAATTGCCAAGATAATATGTTCATCCGGTATTTTGTCCCTTGCCAACTGGAAACACTCGGCTGCTATGAAGTTTCGAACCTCCATGTCCTCAGCCTTGTGGCAGCGACGTTCACCGACTTCCAGACTTCCACCTATTTGCGTTGCAGCTGGCTACATGCATACACTTCAGGGTTCGCGAAGAATTTGTTTACCCCTCTACGCGATGTTGGACTTGGAGCTGTGCTGTGGAAATTCCATTGCCGAATCTGAAAACTGGGCGCTTCTCCAAGTCCACCCCGACCGGTGACTCACCTGGTTCTCCGGGTTGTGTCTGACCACATCCTCAATCGCAACCTGAGTCAATGATGCCCATACACTGCTCCAAGATTTCACTCGCGACTTGAGCCTCCTGCATAGTGACCTGGCACCCCTTGGTGTCCAGGAATCTCACCGAAACGTCTCATAGCTTTTGAAAAGCTATTTCAGCTGCCTCTTGCAATCTCGGTCTTGTGAGGGTACTCCGCACTTGAAGCACTTCACATGTCCCTTGGAGGTGCTTTTTTGCAACGGTTTGGATGGAAAGTTGATTTGTTTTTGTTTCCATCGAGCTTCTTTGAGGGTGGCTTTGTGGCCTCCAAGGCGGCTTCAGCACGAGCTTGCTCTGCTTGGCAGGCTTCTTGGGCATCAGACTTCGACATCTTCTTCCTGGGAGTCAGACCGCTCCTCTCGCAAAGCACGGCCTACGGACATGGTGCTGAATTCACCTCGGATGCTTCCTAAGATGTTTGACTTTTCGTTGGACTCTAAACAACTGCGGTGCAACAGCAAGAAGCCGGCCAAGAACTCAGTGATGAAAATAGCCTCACTGGCATCCCATGACTCTGGTGACTCATACTCAGCAATTCGCCATGGCTCTCTACTCCACCTCTTCTGACGCTTGCTTCCAATCTGCGTGCAAAGCGGCCATCCTCGCGGAAGGGAGCCTCTTCCCACGAGGCCTGAAAACTGCGGCCCCATCTGCCCACGGATCTCTCCCTTTGTCACTGGCTTTTGAAGTTTGTCCCCTTCACATTATTTCTGAGCCTTTCCGAGAGGCAAAGCCTCAGCGTGCCTTGCACACCACCCCGTCATGGGTTCTCCCTTCTCTTGCTGCAGGCTGTAGAAAAACTTCATGAGATGCCAACTAGCTTCTACGAGGCTGGGCTTTTGCCGATGTTCTTGAAGAGCCGATACACGCAGGATCACTCAGCCACTGAGGATCTCAAATGGTTTGAGTTCTGGTGATGGTTTTACCTACCCCAGAAAGTTCTTGGAGTAGTCGAGGCCCCACCAGGCATCGCTTCTTGTGCTCAATCCCCACAGAGTACTGGATGGTACTGGAGGGCCTCTTCACGATACCTTGCTAATTTCGTGGGGTCCCCATCAAACCTTGGAACTCCATCCGGGCTCCTCTCTTCCATAGTTCCATAGTCTTGCGCCACTCGCTGGTTTTGGAAGTCCTCCAATTGCGACAAGAATCTTTTCCTTGTTGGGCTTCGGAAGCTTCCTAAGCCCTCATGGAACCTTTTGACCAACACCGAGGGGCGACTCGTACCAATGCATTTATTTGTTTACAGGTTTTTTTGTTGAATTATATGTTTTACATCAATGTGATTTATACCCACATGTGATGTTATCAGATATGATCAATTGATTTGGACTGCAATCTGGTTTGGTCACAGGCGTGGATTCAGTACAGTAGAGTCCCGACTGTCACAACATATAACAGGTATCGTCCTGAGTCATCCTGCAAAGTATATATCTGACTGTGTCAAACTATATCTAAGTATATCAAACTAATGATGCCAAACTATATCAAACTATATAATTCTATCTAACTATATCAAACTATATATCCGCCGACCCCGGCTGCGCAAGGGGGAGCGCGTTAGGGAAGAAGACAGCAGCACCCAGCAGCAGCCAGTAGCCAGCAGCCAATATCTGCCGACCCCGGCAGACGCAAGGGGGAGCGCGTCAGGGCAGAGAGGTTGTGAACAACAACACCAACACCAACACCAACAACAACAACAACAACAACAACAACAACAACAACAACAACAACAACAACAACAACAACAACAACAACAACACAACCTTCAGGGCCATGGATGGCCATGGTGCATCCCCGTCCGGCAGGGCCGTGTCTTTGTGGGCAAAGCAGCAGCTTTTTGAGGGGTCAGCTGCAGTAGCAGCAGCAGCAGCAGCACCAGCAGCAGCAGCAGCAGCCACGGTGTTTTCCCATCCAGGGGCTGTCTTTTGAACAGGACGAGTAGCAAGAGCAGGAGCAGCAGCAGCAGCAGGAGGAAAAAGTAGTTAAAATCATCCTTTTCTATGGGTTTCAGACGTTACATTAGGGAGTTTTGGGTCGCAATTTTGCTGCTTTTCCGTCCTTCACTGCCACGGTGTTTTCCCATCCGGGGGCTGTCTTTTGAATAGGAGGAGTAGCAAGAACAGCAGCAAGAGGAAAAAGGAGCCAAAAGCATCATTTTCTATGGGTTTCAGAAGTCACGTTAGGCATTTTCGGGGTGCAATTTTGGGGCTTCTCCGTCCTTCAGAGGCATGGTGTTTCGCCCCCGGGAGGTGATTTTTTCCATGATGTTTTCCTATTTGGGGACCGGATGTAAAGGTAGCTAAAATTCATAGCAGCAGCAAGAGGAAAAAGGAGCCAAAAGCATCATTTTCTATGGGTTTCAGAAGTTACGTTAGGCATTTTCGGGGTGCAATTTTGGGGCTTCTCCGTCCTTCAGAGGCATGGTGTTTCGCCCCCGGGAGGTGATTTTTTCCATGGTGTTTTCCTATTTGGGGACCGGATGTAAAGGTAGCTAAAATTCATAGCAGCAGCAAGAGGAAAAAGGAGCCAAAAGCATCATTTTCTATGGGTTTCAGAAGTCACGTTAGGCATTTTCGGGGTGCAATTTTGGGGCTTCTCCGTCCTTCAGAGGCATGGTGTTTCGCCCCCGGGAGGTGATTTTTTCCATGGTTTTTCCTATTTGGGGACCGGATGTAAAGGTAGCTAAAATTCATGGCAGCAGCAAGAGGAAAAAGGAGCCAAAAGCATCATTTTCTATGGGTTTCAGAAGTCACGTTAGGCATTTTCGGGGTGCAATTTTGGGGCTTCTCCGTCCTTCAGAGGCATGGTGTTTCGCCCCCGGGAGGTGATTTTTTCCATGGTGTTTTCCTATTTGGGGACCGGATGTAAAGGTAGCTAAAATTCATGGCAGCAGCAAGAGGAAAAAGGAGCCAAAAGCATCATTTTCTATGGGTTTCAGAAGTCACGTTAGGCATTTTCGGGGTGCAATTTTGGGGCTTCTCCGTCCTTCAGAGGCATGGTGTTTCGCCCCCGGGAGGTGATTTTTTCCATGGTGTTTTCCTATTTGGGGACCGGATGTAAAGGTAGCTAAAATTCATAGCAGCAGCAAGAGGAAAAAGGAGCCAAAAGCATCATTTTCTATGGGTTTCAGAAGTTACGTTAGGCATTTTCGGGGTGCAATTTTGGGGCTTCTCCGTCCTTCAGAGGCATGGTGTTTCGCCCCCGGGAGGTGATTTTTTCCATGGTGTTTTCCTATTTGGGGGACCGGATGTTAAAGGTAGCTAAAATTCCATGCAGCGGCAAGAGGAAAAAGGAGCCAAAAGCATCATTTTCTATGGGTTTTCAGAAGTTACGTTAGGCATTTTCGGGGTGCAATTTTGGGGCTTCTCCGTCCTTCAGAGGCATGGTGTTTCCCCCGG